TAGAGTTCTGCACTCCGTCTTAGCCTAGGGAATTCCATGTTGTTGCTTCTTTTGCCACTAGAACACTTCGGAGGCTCGTTTAGCATGAATGTCTGGCCGCCGGGATAAAGTCTCCGATGAGTCAATGTCATATCAAATTTTATATTGAGATATCTCAATCAGTGTTGGATTTATGTAAGGATTCCAGTCAGCCAACCAAGTACGTGTGTACGTTGAGGATCGAGATCTGATTATTAGTAGATTGTGCAGTCGGATTTAGGCGTTGAGCTCCGGTCTTGCATTCCTGGTCTAGATTGCTAAATTAGGGTCCTTTTGCAGCTCTGCTGCATCTAAACCCTATCATCTAGTCAAACTTACAAACGACAAAGACCTTGGGGCTATAATGGTGGTGGACAAAACTTGTAGGCTCAAAATCGGTGGACCAGTCACCAGGACACAAGTAGTCGGGTAAAAGTATGAGAATGCTAAGAGACAGATGTATGCAAAAACCTTGGTGTCAGAGTTTACTTTTACCGTCGGTACACGGGAGAAACGAGATGAATTCGATTCAAGCAAATATAGCAATTTTGCATAAGACGTTTAACTGTTTAACTTTGGGTTGAAACTCCATATTTACTGACTCGACGAATCGACCTATTAGTTAAATTTGGTCTGAAAAGTGATGATGTTCTGATTCCCTGTTGTCCCCAGGGCCCAGGAGCTTTGGTATTTGACTCCACAAGCACTTACAAGCATTTTCTTCCTGTGACAGAGCGCGGAAATGTTCCAATTTAATTGGATCTTATACTTTCCACGATACCAGGGTTCAATGTCTGTAATAAGATTTTGGAGACCTATCAGGCGCAAGTCATGAACTTATACTTTTTGAATCTGACTATATAGGACACAACATCTTCAAGCCAGTCTCCCTGCTTTTGCTTCACTCTTTCCAATAGAATTTCTCTTACCATTACATATCGAAATCATATCGAATCCACTCCTTTAAGTTCATCACGCACACCCAAAGCAGATATACAACGCGTCGAATCTATCCATTCGTCTACGATTACCTTCCCAGAAGAGTTATTAGTCGGACAATCTGAGCTGCAGTGCTTCCACAATCAGGCAAAAGCCCGAATTACATCGAGATCATACAAAGTACTCAAGTACTTATCATATGACAGCTAATGCAACTCGATAAAACCATTCCGTTTACTAGATATTACTCCGTCACCATGCCTTTCATTCAAGATTCGCACCTTCCTCTTTCGTCGTTTGCTAAGACGCACCTCGATAACCCGGACCATTTTGACCCCTCCTTATCGCTTCATACAATTATGAACGGCCATTTAACCAGCCAAGAGGCGTATAGACAAGCTTCTGTCGGCATTCTTTCAGTATCTCAAGCTTTGGAAATTGCTCGAGACAGTGAGGAAGAAATTAGAGACCCAATCGTCATCAGTGTCTTGGAAGTCGCAATCAACAATATCTGGAGAAAGCTACAAGAAGAACCTACCACATATGTGATGACCCGCGAAGAATTCGGTGTCTTCAATTACTTTCAAAATCGATTCCAAGGCGTTGAGCTCGCAACAGCAGCGCGAAAGAGATACTGGGATTCCCAGCACAGTTGAGAAGTGCCACAATTGACGGTGCCACAGTGGCTCAATTGATTATCGATTTACTGCACTCTCATCCTTACCTTGTCCATTCCACCCTTGTTCCCCGGTGGATCGTTTCCAACTTCAGAAGTTACAATGTCAGCAGGAACAGAAAATCTGTTTGACTCAAAGGGAGACACTTATGTTGGTGATCATCTTAGACGGATCGATACCAATCCTGAGCCCGACAACAAAAATCGAAAAACAATCGAAAATATCAAAATATTCCTTCTTATTGTATTTAGCTGCGGTCTATCATTGATATGGCTTTTACGATCATGCTTCTCAGAGGATGTGGTGAGCATTTCACCAAAATCTAACTTGGTCAGATATTCTGTTGCACCAGTACCCTCTGCTACTCCTACTTCCGCAGTACTTGAAGTATTTCAGGTTTATCAACCAGTCCTCATCCCACCTGGTGTATCTGATGAGACAGCATCAAATGATGGAGTTGAGGAGACGTCAATAATCGCGTCAACGAATGTTGCTACAAGCTGCAAGGTTGTTCTGATGGAACATACTTTTGGCTACAGCTATGGCATTCCATTTGTTGGTATGGAATTCAGATAGAAAATCTTGCAATTACCAATCAGCTAATGACCTCACAGGCAACTATACGCCACCTAGCTGCAAGTTCAATAGAGTTGTTATGAATTTTACAGTCACTTCAAGCGGTCGTCAATTCGATCGTCTTGCAATAATGTATTTTGGAGACTCTGAAGTTTGGAGAACATCCACTGCGGAACCAACTACTGCTGGAATCAGATGGGAATATCTTAAGGATATGACGGAGTATCTTTATTTTTGGAACTCCCCCCAAACGCTCATTTTCGATCTTGGAAATCTGATCGATAGCACCTATACTGGATATTACTACACCACGCTTACAGCTACATTTTTCACGAGCCAAGAAACTGTAGAGCCGGCTGATCTGATTCTTCCAATCTCCGCAAGGCACGGTGCAGAAGATGCAGTGAGTGTTTTCACGTTACCAGGCGATAACGCCACAAACACCATTAGCTTCCCACAGAACGCCAATCGTGCTGTCTTCTCTATCTCGGCATGTGGCCAGTCAACTGAAGAATTTTGGTGGGGCAATGTGCTCCAATCAGATGTAGAAACATTCGAGGATTACGATGGAACACTTTATGGATATTCACCATTTCGTGAAGTCCAGGTTTTGATCGATGGTCAATTGGCCGGCGTGCAATGGCCATTTCCAGTGGTCTTCACTGGTGGTATCGTACCAGGACTTTGGAGACCAATTGTAGGACTTGATGCTTTCGATCTACGTGAACACGAGATCGACATCACACCTTGGCTTCCCGTCCTCTGTGACGGATCTGAACATACCTTTGAGATTCGAGTTGCAGGGGTTATAGACGATGGTGAGGGAAGCGGTACCCTTATTGATACAGTAGGTAGTTACTGGCTCGTCACTGGCAAAATCTTTATATGGCTTGACTCCAATGATTCTGTCACTACTGGTACTGCGCCCAAACTCTCGCTTCCAGCTCCTATCATCACTACTTCACAACTCCTCACTCAAAATGCAACTGGCGCGAACGAAACACTCACTTATACAACCAACGTTCAGCGTTCGCTCTCCATTTCATCTACTGTCGTTACGGAAAATGGCACCTCGACTTCAACATGGACTCAGGAATTAAGCGCTCTGAATTATGGCCAATACACCGCTTTCGGCGCCATTCAAATAAACAACGCAACAGCACATGGCGTCGATACCTCCATGGTCGGAAGTTCCACAAAATACAAGTCCGAATATACATACCCTGTCTGGGTGAACACAACGTACCTAGTCCTTTCCTCCACAAACTTCACCCTTGACGCCGTCATAACCCGCGGTCTCGACCTCCTCATATCCGGAGCCTCAGTCTTCCCATCTGGACTTCAACCGTTTGCTTATCTACCCTCCGCTGCTTCTCTTATTTCCGGATTCTCGGGAACCCGACTCTCAACTACGCAAAGTGGATCAGCTCATTACCTGGGTACTTCAGCCGGCAGTTCCGGATATGGCAGCACGAGTCAGACATTTGAATTTGGTGGATTGGACATCAATAATGATGCGGTTGATACGGAATTGTATTACCGAGATGTGGAGGCAGTCAATTCAGCGATTGTTTATGACGAGGAGCGATTGGTTGGTGTGGAGATTGGGAAATACACAAACGGTAGACCTGGCGGGGCATATCTAAGTAAGGGTGTGATGAGTCCCAAAGAGGCAATCGGGAGGGGAAAGGGAAGCCCAAAGCAGATGCTTGTTAGTGGGGGGTCTTAGATTGAGGGTTCGACAGAAAGGGAAGTGGGGTGGTAGCAGGGAGTGGGAGGTGGGGGCGATAAGAGGAAAGGGGGGATGACGAAAGGTCTATGAAATCATACCCGTTAGCTAGTTTACTTCATGTCGCTCATTTGGAATTAGATCTTCGCTTGCATTTGGAGAATCGGTTCTTGGCTTTTGTTGTTTGAAGCATCGTTAAGTTGCTGGGGGGTTGGATTGGATTCGGTTGTTGTATATACTTTCTGGCTGCTTAGTTAGTACATAAATTATCTCGACCATTTACATCATAAAGTACTTTTTATGCATAGAGTATTTCGTTGCTTTGTGAATCTGTGAGATTGAGTAGCGAATATGCCCCTGGTACACCCAACCAATGAGCATATCGAAGTTCAAGACATGGTCATCCGTTGCGAGGGCGTTCATGTAGATTGTAGATGGAAGATTATGTATACATAGATCTTCAGGTCGTCGTCCTTAGGTTGATAGTCTTAAATCCGTTGTTGGTATCACTTTCAGTGTATGAAGTTCAACCTTTGGTATATAATTGGACTGTTCAATGTTAGACAACTAGAAGACTCCAGATACATATTCGCGTCCTACTGAAAATGTCTCACATGTTTATACCCGCGAGAGAAGTGATATATAAGTCGTAGTGATGCTATCTGGCATTGAAAATTGGCTCGCTCTTGCCAGTTTCTAGCAAGAGTGAATAGGTCCTTTAGTCCTTGGTTAGGTATCTGTTTCTTCGTGGCAGCAGCTAACTAACTGTCTATAACAAACTTCGAAAAGGCAGTCGCATTTTGGGTATATCAATTACATTACCATTCAGCAAATTATTTCTCGTCTGGTTTTGTCTCAGTATCGCATAACTTTTGCCGTATATAATAATCATTCACCTTATATGATATCCAATCATCAGCCAGGAAGACTATTCTAGCTATTATTTCGAGGTCGCCCTACCGCCGTTGGCATTAATATTAGCACTGCTATCATCTTCCAAAGCATCGATTCGCGCTTATCAAAGGCACTTTTTACTGTCCGCCTGGTTTACTGCAGGAGCCATGGGTCAACCTGTTCACGATTCGTCGCTTTGCGATAGAGCCAAGCGATGCATCAACAATATTTCGGATTGCTCCAGTTCTCAACACGATCGAAAGCGTGTTCGTTTGAGCTACGAAAATCAAGGACCGCCTGTGAACGAATCTATTCGTCCAACTGTTCCCATACGATATGAATATGTCCTCGCTGGAGCTGTCTCAAACCCATCTCCCAGTGATGGATATTTCCCTGCTCAAAGTGCTCCCAATCAAACTGTTGCCACATACCAAAATCCCATCAACTATGCATTTTTCCCTATTCCAGAAGATGCCCGCCAAAATGCTGCTAATCCAGGCGTCCCAGGCCGAAGTCGCGTCTATGAATTTGTTCAAGTTCCAACCATTCCCGATGAAGATGTCGCTAGCCCAGGTGCCTCAGATGTCTCTAGCCAGACTGCCTTAGAACAAGCTATTTCCGAATCTCGTCAAGCTATAATCCAAACTGACGCTGATAAAGCTCTCGTCAATGAATTTGCCACTGTGCTAGCTATAGCCAGTCAAATTCCCGTCCATCACGCTGCCGCCATGCAAAGGCCGGTCAGATTTACAGTCAATCAATCAATGGCACCCTCCCCTGGGATTCTCTTTCTTCAGATAACTTCGTTGAGTCAGGGCCGTGAATTGATAAGGCGGTGGGAAGTTTCGGACTATGCTCATGTTAGGATAAATGAGATCTCTTTCACACTGGGAGATGACTCGGATAACCAAACAATAGCCGCCAATCAAAATGCTACTTTTCTGACCGATCAAGCTGCCGCAGATCAAGCTCTCATGAACCAAGCTATCACAGGGCTAGCTAATGCCCTCCAACATTTTACCGGCACCGCCAGTCAAGTAACCGCGAGTTTCTTCATGATGCTCTATTCTCGGTTGTATGAAGCAGGTGGAAGTCGACGCGAAATGGTGCGTCGTTGGATTCAATCGGGCAATGCCCGTTTACCCGTAAATATCAATGTTCCAGGATTTGCGGTTGCATCAGTTGAGAATTCGAATGGGGCACAAATCACGCAAACGACAATAGCATCTCGAGCAAGGGAAGCTATGGAAGCTGAGTTTCAGCGCAGGATCCGACTAGAGCGACAGTCAATATCATTATTTCAGCAAGAGCATGGCAATGATGCTAGCCTGCGCCACCGTCAGGAGGAACCTGGGGCCGTGGAACAACTAAGGGACGAAAATCAAGACTCTGACGCTGCAAATTTGTTTCCTCACAATCCATTTTTTCGTGGATTTACAGGGGAAGAAATTCATGCTCAAATACTGACAAATCAAAGATCTCGTCGAGGGATGAATGGTGCGTCGTCTGGCGAGGACCGCCGCATGGAGATGAGTAATCGCGGACGAAGAAATGCCATTCAATTAGGAAGTCGTGCATTATTTCCAGGCAACAATGACACTGTGACTGATTCTGGACCTCAAGATGTTGATGGTTCATAGATGTTCGAGGCAGTCGTTGAACTATTGGAGTACACTTTGGCGAAGGCCCAACAGATAGGAGGATTACATATTCGAAGAAGTACGTGGAAAGCCTCGATTGTGACTGAATGGCTTTTTGAACATCTTGTTCAATTTGATAATCGATACTGATAAAAGCGATAAAATCAGACAGGAACATTATAGATTAAAGATTTCAAGATCACATCTGGAGATTGGACAAAAATTTCCTCAGTGTTAGGAAACCAGCGTAGGAATATCGTCTGCACTAGCAATCTATTTCGATATCGATGGAATTCCTGTAGCGTTACAACATCATTAAACAAATATTGCGTGCACTCGCAGCACCGGTAATTTGTATACAGCCAATAATACTCAATATCAGTACTTGTCACTTTGTCCTGCTCCAATATAATTCCAAATACGTAACATCGCACGCTCCAGCACATGAGATGCCCATTTTTCCTATGCGGAACCAAGAGCCATACTTGTCTTGTATCGATATTGACCTTATTGATTTTTGAGTTCTGCAACTTGAGATGAGTGAGTATACATAATGAGTTTGTATTAGCCACTTGACCCAAAGGAGTGTATTGGTGAGAATGAGTCTCGAGATTCTATGCTCAAGTATCAATTCGTAGACAAGCGTGAAAAGCGCTAACACCACTCTACATCTATCCGTAATCTGCGTGCACTTATCGGCAACCAAACGCACCAAAATTCTACACCTTTGATTAAAATTCAATGTCAAAACAATAGAGCAATATTTTGCCTGTGAAATTCCTAATAATAAGATTTCATTAAGAAATCATCTTGATTCACTAATCTGAAGAGAGTCAAAATATGTGCATATATTTATATTCAATTTCGAGGGAAAGTCATTTTAAAACTTTCTTCCATTTTCACAGGCTAGCTGTTCAGTCAATCGCGAGCGATATCAACTGTATTTGTCATCAATAAATCCCCAATGACATCTTATCGCAAGCACCCCAACATTACCCCTCCAAAGCCTCCCATAAAATTTTCCCCTCCCAACCCACAACAATGCGACTCCAACACCTCTCCGATTTCAAGCCCCAAGCCGCGACTCGCGCATGGGCATCGATTCCCAATCCCAACGGCCTGCCTCTCATCGCAACAGCCACTTCTGATAAATCGGTCCGAGTCTACTCGCTCAATAACTTCACTTTGCATTCGACGTTGGAAGGAGGCCATGAGAGAAGTGTGAGATCTGCGGCGTGGAAACCGGGGGTAAGGAGAGATGGTGCGTTAACGATTGCGACGGGGAGCTTTGATGCGACGATGGGGATTTGGAGACGGAAGGAGGATGCGGGGGATGGTAATGGAAACGATGGTGGGGATGGACCAATGGAGATGGAGATTGGAGCGGATGGGGAAGTGAGTAAAGGGGCGCAGTTGAGAAGAGGAGGAGAAGAGGAGGAGGATGAGGGGGATGATTGGGAATTTTCGATTGTGTTGGAGGGACATGATTCGGAAATTAAAAATGTGGCTTATTCGCCCAGTGGACAATGGTTGGCTTCTTGCTCGAGAGATAAAACGATTTGGATTTGGGAAGAAATAGGAGACGAGGGTGAGGATGAATTCGAAACAGTTGCAGTTTTGCAAGATCACAAGGCAGATGTTAAATGTGTTTGTTGGAGAAAAGACGATGGCAATGGAGAAGTTCTCGCAAGTGGTAGTTATGACGATACGATTTTATTATCGCGCGAAGATGGCGAGGGAGACTGGGAGACCGTTGCTACATTAGAGGGCCACGAAGGCACTGTATGGAATCTAGATTGGGAGCCCGAAGTTCTCATGAAGACAGAATCTAGCGATGAACCCTCGGCGCCAGCAACCCCACGACTCCTCTCCTCATCTGCAGACATGAGCATTCGCATCTGGTCCAAAGTACCGACGCCACCACCCCAAAATAAACCCTCCTATTTCAACCCCGGCATCCCCAGTACCATGCGCCCCGGCCCCGAGAATGAGACCTGGGAATGCACGGCCACGCTTCCTAAAGTCCACGATCTACCCATCTACAGCATTAGCTGGAGTAAGCAAACTGGTCGTATAGTATCCACAGGCGGAGACGGCAAAATCGCCATCTATGAAGAACAAACCAAGGGACGAAATAGTGTGGGTGGTACCATTGAGAAGGAATGGAAAGTTCTCACTGTTCTAGAAGGTGCTCATGGTCCTTATGAAATTAACCATGTTACGTGGTGTCAACGATTCGACAATGGCAAGAAAACCCCAGATGAAGAAATGGTTATCACGACGGGTGATGATGGACTTACGAAAGCATGGAGTATGGAAGAAAACGTGGCAGAAAGCAAGGTAGAAACATAATGGTATGAATAATGGACAGGTTATCTTCACAGAGAACTCACGGGTTGGTATAAAATCGTCGGGTCAGTTATAAAAATACACACATCTAGTTAGGTAGTTATAAGCATAGCGTTCGGCGTTGTATAGGTACGGTTAGATTTGCTGGGAATGAACAGATAAATGCATATACACAAAATGTACATAGCTTTTATATATACCTACCTAGGTACCAGGAAATTGCTTGCATAGTAGCTTGTTATGTGTGTGTATCCAAGATCAACAAACTCAATAGAATAAACGCACATTTTCTGATTTTCTTCAATCTTTTGGATCGTTTATATTAGCATATTATTTCTATCCTATCTACTAATAGGTAGGTAGGTATTACAAATTAAACTGTTTTTAATGAAGCGGTAAGTATGTAGGTACATTATTGAAATTATTGAAATCATCAAGAACTCGAAGAGAATAATCAATGTCAAGTAACTAAACCCCCTCCCACCTAAACATCCTACAGCCACCTAGCTATTCCAAATAACAAAACAGAACAGTTGACGCACATTTTGAAAAGAAGAGAAAATGAAAATGAAAATGAAAACGAGAAGACAGGAAATGAGAAAGGGGGGAGTATTCAAACAGATATTCGGCGCGGAATTGAAAGGAGAAAGAATAAAATGAAATGAAATGAATTAAAACAGAGAGAGGAATGTGAACTCGTTATCATCGTCATCGTCTTCTAATACGAAGCACGAGATCTGGTTCAAATAGTAAGAACAGCAATAGCATCGATAGAACTTCTCCAGAATTCACGTCTGAGGTTGGTTTCGTGTTCGGGTACGCAGTATACCACAGCATCTCACAGCACAGCACACCAACGAACCCACCACCAAACCCCATTTCGCATCCTCTTCTTCCCTCCTCCCCTAACTACCCCCTCATCAAATTCCCATGCGGCACGCCCACCCCCCCACCAATCCTCCACCACAAAAAATTCTCCACCGTCTTGCGGACCAGCCCCCGCGCCTTGCGTACCCGCATCCCCTTTTTCAACCGCCGGAAACTCCCTGGGAGTTTTTTCCCATCCGCATCGCGCGCGTTGGCTACCTCCCACCATTCTTCTTCTCTGGTGCATCGGTGCAGGACTTGGGAGACGGTGCATGGGGTGAAGAGGGTATGGGACGGGAAACGAATTGGTGTTGTGTTTGCGTTCTTGTTTAAATTTGGGTTTATTTTTTGAGGAGGTAGAGCTTGAGAAGACGGAGCAGCATCAGCGCAGAGGGGAATAGCAGATAGCGGAGTCTTTCCCGCCGGATGCAAATAAGTCATCGGTTGCGTCGTCGAAACACACGATCCGTGATCCAGCGGCCACCAATTCGAATTCGAATCGTACAGGAATTTCTCGTCGAGCGTCTGCATCACGTACGCGATGTGATCTGCGCTCAATCCGCGGCCGTGCAGATAGAGAATGAGGGATTGCGCGGGGGGCACCGCGTATGCGGAGCCCGAACGCGTGAGATCGACGTAGGAGGTGTTGGAGTTGCTGGAGGAGGTGGAGCTGGGTGGGGCGGGGGTCTTGGATTTGCGGGGGAGGAGACGGAGGAGGGGTTTGTGTTTGGGTTTAAGTTTGATGGGGGGTTTGGAGAGGGAAGGTTTTTCTCTGGGTTTGTGGTTATTGAGTTTGGCGATGTTGGCGGTTGAGAGAGAGGATTTGCGGAGGGAGCTTGCGCTCTTGGATCCGGGTTTCGAGAAGGCCTCGCATGGTGCGTCTTCTGGTGTTGGGGGGAGCGATCTATTTTTCGCGAAAGCTCGGGAAAGCGATTTCACAGTCGGGACGAAAGATCTAGTAGTTTTCGCAGATTTTGTTGGCGACGGAACCGGTGTCAGTGAACCTGTCGAAGATCGCGATCTCGATGAAGATCTTCGAGATGTGGGAACAGGATCCAAGTAACTCATTATCACCATTTCCGCAGTCGGATCATGGGGTTTGTGGGTTTCTTCGTGCACGGAATAGCCGAGTATATCTTCCATGAAATCCGCATCCCAGGACGCAGGACGCGTAGTTTCTCTTTTCGAAGGCGCAATACCAATTGTCGTACAATCACTAGCTGCTTCATAGGGAGGATAAAGTTGGAAAGCATGGGGTACGAATTTCGATGTACCGATTGCGTAATCTTCTTGACATTCCGTACCATGGTATGAGGAATTGCCGAAAGAATAATTGGCAGATACTCCATCGTCACTTTCGTAGTCTTCGTCGTCGTCGGTGTCGTATGGTTCTTCGCTGACGATACTGTCTGCATTTGATGGCGCTAATATGTCTTGACCGGATCTGCTGTTGAAGGTATAGCTACGTGCCATGTGTCCTCGGAAACTATCATTGGTGCGTATGTTGATGTTGGCGCCAGTGCGATGATCATCAGTAATGTCATATCCTTCAACAATCGAACCCGCATAATCTCCTTCTTCAGATCCATCGCCAGATCTATTGCTCAGAGATACCTCAGACGGACGGCGAGAGAATCGATTCGCCTCGGAACCTGTGGATTCTGTCGGATCAAAATTTCCTGTAGCCTCTCCACCTGTATCATCATCGTATAGAAAACCATCACTATCATATTCCGTCGGACTTCCAGTCTTGACATCCTCATCAGAACATCTCCGCTGACGTCTCTCCTTATGCCCATCACGTTCTCCCTCACAACCCTCCAATCTAAACCTCAACTCCAATTCCTTCAAGCCTGGAATCTCCAATCCACGCACCTCTCTCCTATTAACCCCATTCAGCCCAACATCATTCGGTTCAAACAAGGGCACTCCAAAATAATCTGAATAATTACTCTTGACATCAAACGCCGGGCCCATTCTCCAATCTCCCGCTGCAACAATGTGAAAATGTCTCTGCATCTTCGTCATATCCTCCCACTCATGAGCCCATCCCGGCATTCCCAGAAGATCAACCAAATTTTTATGTCTCGGTTCCGATCCCAATTCATCATCATCATCATCACCATCATCATGCATCTCCAAGATCGTAACAACATCCCCACCATCACCCACCACACTTCCCGCTCTCGAAGGAGGAGGATTAACATACCCCTCAGGAACAAAATCAAACGGAACCCGAATCTCCGCCCCACACAATCTTTTCAATTCCCTCGTCGTCAATGCAACCACATGATCGGGATCCGCTTCCTCGGTGCTATCCGCCCACTCACTCACTTCCTGATACCGATCATACGCCAAATACGGATTATCCGTCTCGGGATTATACCCCGGGATCTCCGCGCCGTACGCGGCGGGATTCTGATAGAAGCGTCGCGCATGCTTGTGATACACGGTATCCGAAGAAATATTATCCCAATTGAGCGAGAACGAGCCGCGGGAACTATAATGACGCGATCGCAGAGAAGGAGACCGTGAGCGCGCTTCCTGCGGGCCCAATGTCGAAACGTCGGATTCCGAGCCTGATCTTCTCCGTGATTTATGGGGAGCCGCGTGTGTGTTCTTACTCGGAGTAAATTGTTGGGGGTCGAATCTGGGGAAATCGTGGATCTCGGGATTGCGTCGCGGGCCAATGAATGGTCGTGCGCCATCTCTAGGCTCCATGATATCCTCGTCGCCTCGAAAACTCATGTTTAGACTTTCGCCTTCCTCGAATGAAGAATGCTGGTCTGGAGACCCACTCCCATCCATTTGTGCTCCGAGCATGACATGGTCACCTTCTGCAGGTCGGATTGTTTGTGTCGAATGTCCCGAGTTATTGCTCCGTCTGCTGAGACTCTGAGCAAAGTTCCATGCCTTGCTTGAGTTAAGACCTGCACTGCTGTCACTTTCTCTTTCTTTATCTCTGCTTCTACCGGTTGATAGACTTCTCTTGGAAAGACTTCCTGCTACCTCATCTCTAGCCGTATCAGACCAGCAATCCTTATTCTCGACCCGCGAATCCCAAGTCGCGTGTAAACTCTGACCAACACCCCTTCCTCTCTCGCGCGAAACATTTTCTCCAGAACGCGATGAGGGAGAAGGCGCATGCGAGTAAGCAATTGCAACACCCGAAGAATTGTGTTCAGTTTCTTCAGAACTATCCATTTCGCTTACTTGGTACTCGCAATCCTGCCCAAGAGATGCATTGCGCTTTTCCAACTCATCTGCATGCATGGCTGGCATGCTTGAGACGGTCGAGATGCTCGCCGTGCTGGAGCCGGCTGGCTTCCTACTTCTCATTCTGTGTATTTCTGGACTCAGAGGCTTGGATATCTTTACTTGGGACATTTTTCCCGTGCCGACAAATAAACACTCTCCATCATGATCATTATCATCATGATCATCGTCTCTCTTCTCATCAGCACAAACAAATTCTCCACCTTTCTCACCCTTTTCACCCTCCTCCTCACCCCCCCAGCCCCTCTCACCCTCAACCCCCCCAGTAATAACCGTCCTCCTCCCCATCCCCCTCTCCACCTCCCCACAAACCACACACACACAGCCCTCCACATGTCTCTCCTCCACCCCCGTCCCAAAATCCACATTCAGCGTAATCTCCTCCTCAAACAGAATGCGATCGCCCTGCTCCGTAATCAACGCGCGCGCCTCCACCAACTCATAATGTTGTTCGGGCGGCATGTATAGGGGACCCGGATACGGGGGTACTCCTCGAGGAAGCATTTGTTCTTGGTTGAGTGTTTGAGTTTTGAGTTCGAGAATAGTCGAGGAGGGGTCGGATAGTTGTCGGATGGTTGTCGTGATAGTTTTCTCTCGGGTGGTTTTGTTTCATTTGAGAGGGAAAGGAAAAGTAAAAGCTCAGTATTTTCTTCCTAGGTACTTCTCGAATCAACTTCAAACTAATCCATGACTGGACTATAATTTTTTCAATTTGAAAACTGAACAAAGCTAGCTCAAGAAGCATAATCTTCCTACTTAATCAATCAGTGAATCCTCCTCTCTTCACCGAGATCAAACACACGCACATACCTTTATAGTATTTCAAGTCCACTCACTCTCTAGCAATTATCAGCAATTCGATTATTACTATACACCCTCTTTCACACGCTCTCTCTCTCTCAATCAAAAAATCGACAAAGTTTTTCTATTTAATTTTCAAAAAGCAAGACCAAAACCAAGAAGTATCAAAAGTGAACAGTAGAAGGGTAAATAACTAATAAGTGAAGTCAGAACCCCGTCGCGTTTCTCAAAGCCAATAATCAATAATCAATCATCAACCATCCAATCCTATGCGACGTGTCGAAAGTCCGAGCTCTATCCAGTCCATAAATAAAGAAACAGAAACTAGGTAGGCGAGATGATTTATAGCTACACCATCAAAGCGAAAGATGGAGGAAGAAAGCAATTTTGGAAATTTAGACAGAGGCAGAGTGTGTGTGAAAATTTGAGAGCAAGTTTGATGATTACCTAGCTTATGTGAATGGAAGGACAAAGACTTGCAAGGAAAGTTGTGGTTGATAGGAGTGAATAAGATGGATGATATTAATAAGATCAATGGATTCGAAGAGGGTGAATTTGAGAAAGGAGATGGATGTGGGAAAGTAAAATCAAATTAAAAATAGGGAGATGGTTATTAGGAGGATGCATATCTCAGATATCCATCTCTTGTCTCTAGAGATAGACTGTGAGTCCAACATAATGACTGGGCTGGGCATGTTTGAGTTAAAACTTCCTCTCCTCCTCTCACTCTATTCTATTGTGAACATATCTTTGTCCAATACCCAATACCCAATATCCAATTTCCAATAAGTAATAAGTCTCTCAACAAATCGTCACTCTCCATCATCATTCTCCTATCCATTGTACCATATCCACAAACCTACCTCTCCGACCAACTGACCTGCACTTGCACCTCAACTTACACCTCAACTTAAACTCTCATTCCCACCATAAACCAACACATTCATTCAAGCTCTCCTCTTAGCCAAATTCTCAATTAGTACCCCCTTCCTCTCTCCTGCAAAATCCTCACCATCTTCTCTTCCTTCAAGGCATCAGCCGACTCCCCATTCCCATCTACATTCTCATGAATGGATATCATTTCTTGTCTCTATCTCGTATAGATACATAGATGCATAAGTTATCATTCAAAAGTAGAACCATGTAAAGTCAAAGTCAACGATAATACACAAGGGACATTTCATGGAAATTCTTCTTTTGCAATCATTCTATACTACTCCAAGATTACTTCACTAGGTAGGTATGTTTTGCAAATTTCACCATCAGTGAATGACTTCATCAATAAGGTGTGCATTGGCTACATGCAAATCTAATCCATCGATGGAAATGAACCCAGGCACTTGCCACCATTAGACAAAAACTTCAACACTCCACAAGTTCACAACACCAATCAGCGCAAATTAGAATGTTGAATTCTTAATGTTTTCCATTTTATTCATTTACTGGCACACAGTTGTCAAGTTACCAAAATATACAACCAACCGCGCAATTCAAATAGGCCATTTCCTCTCATCGCAATCAAATTCATCCCTTAACCTTTGTTTCCCCTACTGAAAGTCTAGAAGAGATCTAACATTATGCACCTGTCATCCCAACCTATCCCATCCCATTCCGGCATATCCCAAAAAACAAAAAACACCAATTGAAATCCCAAACTTCGCATACCCAAACATACTAACATGCACCTTGCCAAATTGGTTGGTTGCAAAATAAAGCAAAAAAGCGACGCAGATATGCATACTCCAAACGTGTTTCTAATGGATAAATAAATCCTTTGAAATGATCAGAAAACAAGTTTTGGCCCCAACCGAACCCCTTAAGTGATGCGTGGATTTTAGTTGCTTCCCAGATAATAAACACACCAACCATGAATCATGGTTCGACAACTATTGTACAGCTATTTGTAGTCGATTGATGCGAAGGAAACGACAGACTTTGGGTATCAGAATTTCGAAAATTGAAGAAAAATGCAGGTATGCAAGACCAGAATCCGAACCGACTTGCCCAGCCCCAAATGACTCCAAGAACAATGCGGATTTATAATAGATGTGGTAAGTAAAGTTAAAAAAGATTATGAGGCGATTTCCAAACTTTTAGTATATGCAATAGGAGTAGTTCGTCTCCAGCCGTTCTTGGAGATATTGTTTTCTTGCATATTCATATAGTGTTTGCCGCAATAACGTATCCGGAGTTTGGCTTGAATATGACTCCGGGTGAGTGGACCTTTTGATATGCTGTCTTTATGGCTCGGCTCTGCTGTTACAATGCCCCCTCGAAAGAATGTTGTTTGCAAATATGCTGTTTGCCAATCCTTCAAGACTTGTCAACCGGCAGATCGTTATCTTGAATCATGTTGACGTCGACTTCATCCTCAGCATCAGGATTGACAAGATATGCTAATGGTGCCCAAACCCGCCAGTGTAAAATACCGATATGGGCAATTCTGGTTGCAATATCTGAAATTTCCTCCTTTTGTCCGGTTGCTTGGGTATTGAGGTTCATAAGCCCATTCGTAGGTTTTGGCGACGTGGCCGCATCAAATATCTGGAGACTAGTCAAAGGAGTATACGACTCGACAAGCTTTTGTAACTCGGGGAAAAGTTTCGAGATGATGTACGTTTCCGCTTCTTGATAGATCCTGGATTGCGAATTGGAGAGATGAAATTGGAGATGTGATTCGAATACTGGAAGGCGTGCCATAGGTGTTGGTGTTGAGCGAAGAATTTGCAAAGCAATGTTTGAGGATAGTACGGCCCACCTATCTTGTGACGAAGAAGAAGCCAGGAGAGCTTGTAGAGAGGTGCGCACTTGTGACGTAGAGTCGGAATTCTGAATAGACAGGTAAAGTGGTGTTACAGGATATGTCTCGGGCGTAGATGCAGTCGTTGATGGAGATGATCTTGGGCTAGACGATACGGAGTCCATAGCTTCGTCTTCTAGATTTGGTACCCATACTTGTCGACCTGAGAGTTCCCTCGAGAAATGTCCTTTTTCCTGTGCCATGTGATTATACTTGCGTTTGGCTGTAAAGTCATTCTCTGAGGGTACAGTCGGTGCGGAGAGTACACCTTCATCTGCAGGAGAAGAGATGTAAGACGAAGCAGCAGGTGTATCGTCCTGTGGAACAGATCGGGCCTCGTTCGATTTGGATGCCGCATCAAGTTTGTGATAGAGGAACATACAAATCTCAAGGTTGATTAGATCCAGCATATCCGCACGGAGTTTAACGAGGCGCTCCTCATCGAATAGGAAAGTGTGAGGAACGGGTTCTAAGGCTTTCGATGGCAGGGTTAGATTTACAAGTGCTTTCATGAAGTCCCACGTGTTTCCTTGAGTTCGTGTTGATGCATCCGAGGGAAGACTATCTGGCAAGTTTGATGCCCTTCTGAACCAATCGTGAGCTGAAGCGATGTCTACTCTACCCATGGCGATCTTTCTTACAAAGAACTTTTGCTCAAATTGGACAGTGTCTTCGATGAGCAGCGGGCGCAAACACCTGATCTGATGATTTGCAACATCCTAAATCACATATCAGTCAACGTCTCCCAGGTACATATCACATATCACATAGAACTTACGAGCTTCATAGCTTCCAAGACACCCAGCAGATTTCGCATTCCAGAGACCAACATTGCCACGTCTCCGTTTTGGTTACCCTCACTCAAGTGAACGACCATCTCATCAACCCAACTGTCTCTCATCGGCGCACAATGGCACTTCAAAAGTTGTGATAGCCACAACGCAAGTTTATTCAGATCAGCAACGCCTTTTCGAAATTGCTGCATTAATAGATCAACATTAAAGGTCTCCTCGACCGATGACCGATCCCGCTGTGGGACTAATGTTTCTAGAATGCCCTTGATGGCTTTCAGCGTGGCTGGCAAGCACCACTCCGCATCTCCCAAATCTTTCTCGAATTGCTCACGATCTTTACTCATCAAAAAGCCTTCAAGTTGCGATCGCATCGTCTCCCAGAAATCGTTGGCCTTCTGGCTCTTCTTGCGTCCCTTTTCTCCATCGAGATTGGGCCTAAAGTGTAAATCCGGATCGAAGTTGATGTCGTGTCGGAGTTTAGGATTGTGTACTATCTTATTCACATCGAGTTCACTTAATGTTGATTTGGTGACGGGGGGTTCTAATGCTGGCTTGACCACGGTCTGTGTACTTTTCTTTGACACATCGGAAACTTCTTGGCTAGATGAGGTTGTAGATCGTTCAAAAGGATATCTGGGGGCCGGATTTGTGGGTGGTGAGCTACTGCTAGCTGTGAATGTATTGGTCGATTGCAAACCATATCCCTGAGGGTTGTGGCTGTTAATCTCCCTGGATTCTTGCGGTCTCTCTGTTACCTGAGCCTCGGGTACAGCTCTTCCATCATTATTCGCAGGTCTCTCGGGGGTAGTGGTGATGCTATTCCCACGCTGTCTCTTCCCTGCATCGTGCTCCATTTTGCCCAGACTCTCAACCAAAGTTTGTGGTATTTACTGCAAAAGTTGTCTTCAGATTATCAAGTTGTTATTATTAGAGAAGAGTTGCGCCGTAGTGCAAAAGGTGCCAAAAGTAAAACTATTAAAATACCGTGTTAGTAATTGCCTTTTCTAGTGGCTTTGGGCTTCCAGATATAGTTAATGTGTGTGGGCAAACAACGAGTGAGCTCTGTACTTCGAAGAGTATGATCTCGTGGATGCGGTTGCGGGTAGGAACATTTTCTTGTACACCCATTTCGAGGAGATCTCGAATCCACACGAAAGAGTTGTTTGTACTTATGCACCAGGCCGGGAACTTGCAAAAAAACATACCTCTTTGTGAAACCTGATAGATCCTCTTCGCCCCAATGATTTGATAACCAATGTGTTCTAAATTGATTCTTCCAAACCGAATTGACTTGCTAGTGGCGACGATGGTAGCTGTACCGGAAAGGACAGGAATTGGCTGGAAAGCCTTGTTGAATGAATGAAGTCGAGAGGAGGTTGAAAGGTGACCGACCACAACAAAGGATGTTCTTTGGAAGCAGAACAATCTGATAAAAGAGGAAAGTGCAATGAGAGACGAAAACAAAATTGATTAATGAAGTAAGGAAGGACAACAATTGAGAGAGAAAAGGACAACTGAAGTGTATAATTACAATTGTGCGAGTGAGAGTGAGAGTGAGAGTGAGAGTGAGAGTAGTGAGTAGAATCGAGTGTGGTAGTTCTTTGGTTTGGGCTTGGGGATTTTTGGTATGGCTGTCTGTATGCTGATGTGATAGTGCTGATGCAGTGGATTGCAGTTATATGCAATACTGTAATGCTATGCAAGCGTTTTTGGTTTCTTTATTTATTTATTTCTTTCTTTCTTTGCTTTTCTTGTTTTTTTTTTATCCCTCTTTGGAATGAAGAGACTGAGAGGAGAGAAAGGAAAGAAAAGACCAAAGTTTCGATTTAGAATTCGAATGTGGAAAAGCGGAGGGGAGAGAAAGAGAAAGAGAGAGGACGAGAGAGGATCTGAGATTGTGATGGGTCGCAATTGAGACAACAGACGTGCTCTGTTTGGAATGAAAGCCAGGGACGCCTTGACCTTTGGAAAATTCAATAAGCCAGGGAATCGTTCCTTCCACAATAGTCTGTCTATATTATTATATATTGTATAAGATAGCGAAATGAGATAATATGTGATATGTAGGTAGTAGATAATATGTGTGAGGCGAAGAGAATGAAAGATGGAGAGAGAGAATGTTAATTACGAATTTTTATATCGATCAATGCAAGCTGACTCTTCTGAACGATGTTACTTTTTTAATAGGGAATCGATCATATATTAGGTATAGTCCATACATGGTCTACCTCGGTATGCTCTGTAATTAGGTGTAGTAAGTAGTAGGTGGTCGTAGGTAGGTATGTAAGAGGAGGTTAGGAGATTAATAAGAGGGTAAAAGGGTAAAAGAGGGTAAGAGGGTAAGAGGGTAAGAGGGTAAGAGGGTAAGAGGGTAAGAGGGTAAGAGGGTAAGAGGATAAGAGGATAAGAGGATAAGAGGATAAGAGGGTAAGAGAGGTAAGAGAGGTACAAAGTCCGAAGTCAGAAGTAAAAAGTGCCCAGGTAACTTCTTTAGCATCATCATTAGTCCCTATTTCTTAGTATCTTTGGTTCTAATAATTGTTCTAAATGTTCTAAATCTTTTCACCTGGGCATTCTTTAGTGTTCCTCAGCTGGACCAGATATTTCAATAGACATGCTCGCCTCCCCCACACACGAGTCAATACTACCAGATAGGCTTGGATACGATACTACCTCGACTACCTAGGTGGGTGTGCATGTACTATATCGCGAGGCCATGAATCAATTGATTGTGAATAAATAGTGACTCAAGACTGAATACCTAGTAGTTACTCAATACTCAATACTCAATACTCAATACTCAATACTCAATACTCAATACTCAATACTCAACACCCAAGAATGAACCACCGGTTTCAATCAAAACCTCATACCTACTAGGTATCTAGCAGGTCGAGAGATTCTTGACAAAGTACTCTTTCCGTCTGTATGGTTCGATCTACATACTACAGAGTACATGGTTAGTTTATTAAGTTGCGTGATTTGACATCATTTCTATTGCTTTCTTTTTCACTCCTAGACAATACAATACAACACCATACATACATACATACATACATACATACATACACCCATACACCCATACACCCATACACCCACCCATACACACATACATACATACATAAGTTATTTTTATCTATTGCCGACCGTATTCCTCAAAAGAGATCTCTCTGAAAATATCTCCGAGAATGAGAGAAAAGCATAAGGATTGGTTATTGTCATGTCGTCGTTGCCTTTGCCATTGCCACCGTCGCCTTCACCGTCACTGCCGCCAATCCACATCTTCATTATCTTGCACACCAACATTTAGCTGAGGGATCTCCGAAAGTTCCTGAAAGTTAACGCCTCCTATCTCATATTTAATGTTATTTTAATACACCCAATTTATTTGTTGCCTGCATGTACATATGCAGCAGCCTTGCTTTCGCATCGGCAGTGAAAGCAGGCGCGCGGCCCATACTTGAAAGGTGATTGGTGAAATGGGTCAGACTCCTGGGAATCATGCAGAGATGGATCTGATTCTCACATATACCTACCCACGATTTCCATGATATCACGACATTTTATTGCACTCTTCGGCATACAAATTAGAGGTCACACTCCCCCATTTGGAAACTTAGATTTTAACGGTTATTAGATCTTCCTTAGAATTCCCTAGGCAGACCTTAGAAGACACGGGAAGGGTGTAGTAAGGGAAGGAATCAGCCGTGGCCCGTATGATATAGCACCCAAGAGCCTAGGTAAGTGGTAAGTGGTAAGTGGTAAGTGGTAAGTGGTAAGTGGTAAGTGGTAAGTGGTAAGTGGTAAGTGGTAAGTGGCAAGTGGTAAGTGGTAAGTGATAACATCCTAGAGGAATACCCAGTCAATTAAGGATTTAGTAAACTTTCTAGTGAGTTTGGTTAATCTTAGCCTTGGTGGACGTTGAAGATTACTTTTCATGCTGCTGATGATACACGCATCCATACGCCAATGCGAGATGCTGACTCGTTGATTAAGTGTGAAGGAGAGAACTTTAGAACTCAGAATTCAAAACTCAGATCTCAGATCTCAGATCTCAGATCTCAGAACTCAAAAGCAGTGTGGAATGTCGGAGAAACCGATGCAGCCAATGTATATATTATCATCCAGCCTCAGCCAGCTTAAGTCCGAACAGACTCCAGAATACCTAGCAAGTGGTATGAAGGCTAATAACTAACACTCCACATACCACACCCTATATTGCATATCGTATCCTATACTCTCTCTGTATCCTTTAGCTGTACTCGGTACAGCCTTAATAACCAGGATCAATACTAGGCTCTTCTAGGCTGGTTCCAGGCCTTATTATTATTAGAGTTTTAGACTCCATGTGCTAAACCCCTTGTTCAAAGTCATTTTATTTTTCCTTCTCTTTTGAACAATCTGCAGCCGTGCTATGGGGTCGGGGGTGTACTAATAGCTATCCAGGCTCGAACCAGGTACAGTACTCTACAGACCATCAGTAACAATTAGGAATTCCGCAACTACCGCCTTTTCTCGCTTTTTAATCCTTATCCATCGATCCCTCGTCTCGCCTGACGGTCTGAGCCGTCTCGCCTGATATCTTCCGCTACCAAACCACATCTCTGATACTTGGATTCTACAGAGCATAGCGCTTTTCCCAATTCGATCTGCTGGAATTCCAAACCCTTGTGGCCGAGTTCATGTTCATGTCATAAGAGGTTAGACCCCTACCAATTGACTGGGTGCTGGATTGTCCCCTCTTCCTCAGCCTCGCGCTCACCATTTTCCCACGTTAAGTAACCATGGGTATCCTCGAGGCTCGATTATCAACAATCTCTCCATTTCCTTCTAGAAGCTATTGACTTGTTAGCCCCGAAAGGATATTCCCTACACTCTTCTTCGAAACAAACTGAAAGATACATCCGTATCAGCTTATCAGCACAACAGGGCCAACGAAAGTTAAAAAAAATTAGATCGTGGCTAAAATGGACGGGACCTTCTCATCCAACGGATCAATGCTTAACCAAAGAAACGTACCAACTCGGGTAGGGACACCATCATTGCTGCACGCAGCCTTACCATCTGAAAACATAAGTATGCAGCAGTAGCTGAATTCGCAAAGGTCGCCGTTCAGGAGCATCAATATTTTAATCATCAGGTCATTTCCACCGATGCAGGGCGTCGCCAGGGGCGTCAGATTTCGATTCTCAAACTGTAATATGACCGATGCGAAAAGCTGTTCGTGATCCTACAAGCCCTTTCTCCAATGCTCACCTCTCACTACGTACATTTATTCAGATGCGCCTGGGGACACGGAAAATAGATTCAACCGAATGTAATCTCAGACAATCCTCTTCCTTTGAACAACGGGAAATCTTGAAGAAGGACGGGCTCTTGTGACAACAGAGGCATTGCAACATATCTACGTGTATAAAACTCTCTCCCGTCTTTTCCAAATCATTTGCGAGACTTGGTGTTCCTCGCAGGGCTCACACTGTTACTTCGTATATGAGAATCTATACACAACGTAGTCACAACATCGGCAAGCCCGTCGCTCGTCACCTATCTCACACGTAAGAAAGACCAGGTAAAACTCATCAAACACAATTTCACACGTCTCTTCAGTTTTTGCAACCTCCACGTCCATGTCGTACTCAACACGTACATTACTATAAGAGATGGGTCCGATATATTAACTCGCTGCAAAGCTCACGAGAGACGGACATTGGCATACTTGGGTACCTCCTTACTAGACGTACTATCTGATCACAGTCTAATATGAAATCGATATGCAAACAAACGCAAGAAGCGGAAAGATCAACTTCTGTTTGTTTGTTTCGTTTATCGAATTCTTTCCCCCTCCTTCCCTCCCCTTTCACTATCGCCTCCGCCTTATCCACTCCCTGCGAACGGAAAGTAGCCCAAAAGAGGTTCGAGGCTACCGAAGAATGCATTGGTAGCAGTAACATAAGTCTCTAGTTTCTAGTAACAATCAGGGGTTTCTGCGGCTACCAAAAAATGAAACTTTGGTGTCATGGTGGAAGAATATGGATCAAACATCGATAGTTTTGGAGATCGACTCGAGAGAAAACTTAAAATCAAAAACAGCCGTGGACGCTTCCACCCACCCCCCGAAAAAAGTGAGGCGTGCGAGATTTTGCGCCACAAAGGGAACGGACGAGTCTCGGACAATCTCATCTTATCTCATCATCACGTGTTCGTGTTTGAATGAATCCATGGATGTCTTTGGAAGCAAAAGTCTCGCGATGTTTGGAAATCAATGTAGTCAGATTCTAAGACTCCGAGACTCCTCAAAGCGACTCAAAGCAACTCAAACCTACTTGTACTTGGATACAATCGAGTATGACCTGTCTAGGGACACTATCATATCATACCATACCATGGACTCGTATATCTCGGGCAACTCTTGAAGGTTACTAATCTTACCATACATAACATACGAGACGACTTGGGGAGTATGAAAGTAAGATCAGTAAGATCCTACATGCTCCTCCTGTAACCCCCTTGGACGACGCAACGAATGACTCAAGTTGCCAGAGAAGTTACAACTTTGGAAAATACGCCGAAGACTTTCAAAGAAGTTCTTGGTTTATTCATCCGTTTTGCCTCTTATGAACCCTTTCTCGGGCCTCACAATCTCAGCCACCACTTGTTTGTAATTTTTATTAATCGCCGTCAATACTTTTCAAGGTTTACTTTGCATATCAAATTAAAAAAAAAGATTGATTTTTCTTTTCCCCATTCATTTATCCATTTCTTATCAATTTCTGCTATCTTGATATTACCAAGCTATCCAAAGGTCGGGGGGGGGCAATTTCAATATTGGAAATCCGGGACTTACGGCATGAAGTTTTTCGCATGCTTTGATCGTCCAGTTCTCATTTCTCATTTCTCGTACTGGTATCATTACCATCCGACGATGAGATGAACAGTTGTTATCGACTCCATTCTTTTCAAAGTTTGGTGAATCAAGGATAATCCCATTATACTTTTCCAAGGCATCTTCGTTTCAAAATGGACGTCCTTGCATTTTTGCGCTACGTCGCGGTATTGAAAACACGTCTCGGAATTAATGATCTATGCGGTAAATGAATTGGAATTGTTAAGTGCTTGCTGGCACTTGCATACAATCAATTTCAAGGCAATATATTACTTTGCGCGCGGGCGGACTCGGAAGAATTTCGAATTTCAGCCAACCTCATACTTCACGACATATTATCGATATTGATAAATGTGACGTATATACCATAAAGGTTACATGAATTTTTTCATACTTGACAGGCTCACGAATCAAAGTTTCTACTGGATTCGGAGATAGTCAAGGTGTTACTCAAAACGCTTGGTCCTCGAATTATTTCTTTTTTTTCCAAGCGATGTGCAGAATCGAACATGCGGTTCATCCTCAAGTGTGGTTTCACAACTGCTTACTTGCTACTTGATACTCGAGTCGACAGAAGACGAAGGAACATTAAATACCTATGGAATGCTTTGGGGCTCGAGTCCGCATTTCGGAACAATATCTATGCAGATGTGATGAATCGAGTGAACGTCAGTTCTTGGCGAATGAATGATAATTCCATACTTTCATCTGGCTCCATACACGGGTAATATTTGCATAGACAAATCCATTCTATACACCACATGAAAGTATTCAGATGTAAAGGCGAAATAGGGTGAGTCACATAACTTTCTGCGATCCTGCGGTTTCTCGAATTTTCTAGCTCTTTAGTCAAGATGCATTTTAATTCTATTCGTCGTCGTCCAATCATTCTCGCTCCATCATCGTCTCCCAATCATTAGCTCCTATTCTTTAATTCATCTATTCATTCATTCATTCATTCATTACATCCCATCAAACCACATGAATCTACATAATGCCCTTGGCGAAGACTAACATCCAATACAAATTGCAATTCATCCCCACACATATCACAAGAAGCACTTCACGGATACCCACATCCTCAGTCCCCATCGCCACCATCGTGAAAAAAGTCTTCCTTTCAAAAAATCCGTTAGAATTGTCAATCAGCACACCTGTCTAAAGCCTTCAAGGCTCAATGCCGCGATGTATGCAACGCACTGTTAGAATGGTGTGGTAGGTGCAACACGTGCTACGCATGCTTTGGGTGAGTACTGCAGTATGCTTGCGCGGGGAGGCGTGGATGTGCATGTGCATGTGGTTGTAGTGAGTAGTGAGTAGTGAGTAGTGAGTGTATGTATGTGAGTTTTGTGCGATGATATGCTTGGTTTGGTGATGCTGCAATGGATAGTAATGGATTGTGTTGTGTGATGTGGTGTGATGGGGTGTGATGGGGTTTGTGTTTGTGGACGAAGAATGTGGGATTGCTGGTGGAGTGGCATGTTGTGGCTATGGTTGTGCGATGTAGATGTAGATGTAGATGTAGATGTAGATGTACTAGGCTTGACTCGACTCGACTCAACTTGGATTGACTCAGCTCAACTTGACTCGGCCTGACTCAATCTGACTCGATTTGTGATGAGTTTAGGCGAGGTGAAATGAAGTGAGGTGTAATAGGAGATTGTAGAAAACACATCTTAGAATTTATAATTTAGAAAATAAAATAATATGGTATAACATAATATAATATAATATAATATAATATGATAGGGGATTTATATACAAAGTTTAGATACAAAGTTTAGATATTTATATATCTGAATTGATGAGTCTATAGGTCTATGAGTATGTGGATTTATGGATTTGTAGATAGATTAGTTACACTTTATACTTCATAATTCAAAATGAGCGCGTATCTTTTTCTTTTCTTTTCTTTTTATTCTATTTTATATATTCTTCTTTCCTCTTTCTTTATATCTTTTGTTACTTTTAGTATTTTTCACCCGTCTACTTCTATAAACCTCGCCTCACCTCTACCATCTCATTCTTTGAAGTTCATTCTTCATTCTCCAAAGTTCAAATACCTAGCACAGCACAGCACAGCACAATCCAATCCAATGCATTCCTTTCCCAATCATTCTCTCCCTATCCAATCCATCCCCCCTCCCAATCCCCGCACTCACACCCAAACAAGTCTTAAACAAGTCCCCAATAAAGGAGAAAAAAAGAAGCGAAGCGAAGAGGGAGATCTTATTTCCTCCTCTTTTCCCTTCCTTCCCTTCCTTCCCTTCCTTCCCTCCCTTCCCTCCCTTTCCCTTCCTTTCCCTTCCTTCATTCCTCCCCTTTTCCTCCATTCCCCTCTCCTCTCGTACCTTTTCCTCCAACTCCAACTCCAACTTCAACTCCACTCCCCTCTAAATCTAAATCATTCCTTTAACTCCCTCCCGACATCTCTCCCCCCAACTTCCACTCCCCACTCCCCACTCCCCATACCCCAAATCATCATAATCATCATAATCATCATAATCATCATAATCATCATAATCGACATCAATCAATCCCCAACCCCCAATTCTTAAAAACCTACCCAACTACCAGGCATCAACTACCAACTACCTCCCTCCTTGTGACTCTAGTAAATCTCATCTTCTGAACTATCTTTTTACCTAGGTATACAATTCTCATTTTGATACTCTGATACCCTGCTACCCTGCTCTCTCAAACTTTACAATTCCCATCCCATCCCATTTTTTCACATCTTTCATTCATCAATTCTCCACACACACACACACACACACACACACACACACAAACCTAGGTCCATACAATCTCATTCCTCATTTATTCATTCAATAATCGTATTCGTATATTTATACTGACTGCATGAACTGATAATCCTAGATACATATCTATTCTCCTTCTCCTTCTCTATTTATCTCATCTCAATCATTCAATCCATCTAACCCCACTGCTCCACTACCTCTGGAGAACGACTTCCATCGCATACCCTTCTGTAACCCATTCCGCTTCATCATCCTCCTCTATCTTTCACCGTGAATATGAAAGTGTCAAATTGAATTGTTTAATCCCAATCCATCCATGCCAAATTCCTCTAACCCAGTACATACCGTCCTTCTACCCCGCACCCTACACCCCAAATCCACATTCCCATATTCACTTCCCTTTTCTGCTCTTTCCTCTTTCCTCTTTATATCCTCCTCTTGACCACAAACCCACACTCTCCTATCAAAACATCTAACATACAACATCTCTCACCCTACAAATCAATCTCCGCGCTAAAACTAAAACTCAAACCCAACAACCCCCAGAGCACCAAACCATGCACCCAATCAATAACGCCCCTCGAATTCCAGTATTCCTACACCCATCCATACATCCATCGTATAAAACACGCCAACATCTAATCCATACATTCCCCCAAAAGTTACCAAAAATAATCAAAACTCTTTAAATGATCAAAACGCTAATGACAGTGGTATATGCTATGATTGAAAAATTGCCTTCAATGACTTCATCCCATCCCATTCCTTTCCTTCCGTATTATTCACGCTAAATATGAAAATCCATGCTCTCATTTCTCGCCCCATTCATTCATTTCAAACTTTAAACTTTATATGCCCGATAGAAGAGTCCCGCCGATATTCCGATACCAAACAAACTGGCCAGAGACAAACAGGATAGTGCGTCTCATCCGATATTGAAATACCCAAAGGTATAACTCATGGAATAACCCTCAGTTTCAATAGGCGACTTTCCCATTACTGTTAAACCGATTATTCATATAATGCGACGGGCTCAACATAATAGTCGGTCCATCATTAACACCTAGCTGAGAAGACATGGTACCAGTTCTTGATCCATTCGACAAGTAAGTATCTGCGCGCTCATAAACATTGCCATTAAACATTGCACCAAAAGAGACACTCTGTGGAGTAGATGGAACAGTTGCCTGAACCGCTGGTCCCAATGCTGCACTCTGGGGAGTCATCGGTAAGGGGACTTGGGAGGCAGGTGATTGCGTTGTATACGAGCCATTCGAACCACCATTTGCTTGTCTATTTGCCAAAAACCCCCACGGTGATGCTGTAATCATTGAGCCTGTTTCCTTGATGGCCTTTTGAAGAGGTCTAAGAAGAATAATAATTTCAGTCGGGATGAAGCTGATTACGCCTTTCACTTCCCTGACTTTGGTAACTAAGTCGAGATATGACTGACTTTATTAGTACATAATGTTGTGTTATCATAATTGGGTATACTTACATCTACCATCGCCCAGCATATCTCCCAGAAACCCTTTTGCTCTCTGATATCAGGGTCCTTCAATTTAATTTGTGATAGACGAGATTTAAGCGCATCCGCTATGTATAACGCGTGCGTGCATTTGTGTATTAACACTTGCCAGTATTGTTTACCATGGTCTGCATTACTTGAAATCGCACTCTTTTGCATGGATCCGACGAAATGGGCGTTAACATTTGGAAGAGTTTTGAGAGCCATTTCTGACGTTTGCTGTAGACGAAGAAAGATCTTCTCAAAGATTTTATCCTCCTCAGTAAAGTCTCCCACTAGACGCCCACTGGTTCCTGTTGAACCAAACGATTCTCCAGAGCGTGGAGTAGCGCTTGTCATAGTTGCGGAACGCCCATTTCCACTGACAAATGATGGGGGAGCATCTATCGCTACTCGTAGATTATTTGAATGTTGAATTACAGTCGCACTTCTCGATCTAAAGTTCGTGCCAGGCCTCTCTCGTGTCGGAGTGACTGATTTATCTCTGATTGGATATCCTACCTCGTGATTACTTCCTAGGTGTCTACCAGATCGACTTTGTCCAGGAGGAAACAAGCTCGCGCCAGCATTTCGCACTTCTGCTACGCTTCCGTATAATTGAAGTAGTAGGGTCCGAATGTATCGAGGATCGCCATTAATGAGAAGAATCTCGACATTTTGTGATAATTGAGCACATACGTGAATGTATGCACCAACACAAGTTAGACAGGCACGTTTCACGTTCTCGTTGGACCGAGGAGAAGCTTCCTCATCTTCCTCCGAGTAAGAATCATAACGTTGAACATCCTGATCTAGCTCTTCCACATGTGTTTTGGCGTTGTAAAATACCCTCTCCAAAGTGGACTTCTTCTCGCCAGGATTCCGAACCAGGCCAATCAAGGTTTCGATAAGAGGATGGACTTGAAACAAAGCGTACAATACACCTTTAGCCCCTTCAATAATAGGATCTGGGGAAGTAGATTCTCGTTTGCGTTCCGGTAAGCTTGATAAGCGTCGGACGTAGGTAGCTCTCTGGCCCGCCGAATCTGCCGGACTTGCTGGACTAATCGTATTGCCATGAGACCCAGTACCATTACCCTGCATGGCAGATCCATGACTGAGGCCCCTGTTGTGGAGACTGTAACGATTCGATTTGTTCGTCTCATCAACCGTCCCTAACTCCGCTGCCTTCCTTGAAACGATACCCATTCGTCGCGAGCGATCCGTTGAAGAGCGGTCCGGTCGATCACGATTAGCCTGCAAGAGGCTCTCGCTGTTACTGCGAACCCTTTCGTTTGTGCTTCCAATTGTGAGAGGCATTACGCCAGGTCGCCGAAGCGCTGCGTTTTGTTGCGAGAAGCCTCTTTGGTGTGATCTAGAAGGTATAGGTGGTGGTCGAGGTTGAGCTGGCGATGGGGGAACGCCGTCGACCTTTATGGGAAAACGACCACTCACAACACGCTTCATAATAGGCCGTGGAGTCTCGGTACCCTCGCTCGATTCTTCTCCGCCAGATTCGGTTTCGGGTCGACCCACGGCTCTGGACTTCAAGAATCTTTTGACCTGTGCTGTGATAGCAACTTCGTCCATGTCGCCTTCTTGGAGGGGACCGCCACTAGGGGAGTTCAAAGCTTGCGCTTGAAAGATCTCTTTAGGTGGAAATCTCAGGGGATTCCCATCCAATTTCAGGACTTGTAGAGTTGTCATGTCTGCCACACATAAAGGAAGTTCCTCGATCCTGTTTCTTTGAACGGACAAAACCTTCAATGATGTCAAATTTATAATGCCTGGTGGCAACGTCCGTAGTTTATTTCGTCCAAGGTCGAGAATTTCGAGAGAGTTTAACTGGCATATCTAAAACAAAGTCAGCGTCTTTAAGCTTGCCTCACGCTATTTGACCTTGCATACTGCTGGTGGGAATTCTCGAATGATATTGTTTCGAAGATTGAGATATCGTAACGAGGTACATTCTGCGAACCTGGAGGGGAATGTTTGGATCTCATTGTGGGATAATGCAAGTCTGTACCATCAATATGTATTAGCTATCATTAAAAAATATATTTAATTTCCGAGATGCTGGAAAGAGCGCAACATGTGAGACAAGTTCCAAGCCTCCTGCAAGGAATGAAAGATTATAAATACCGTACGAGTTCGACTTTTATGATGTCGACAACCTCTTCTGGAAATCGTTGTATACGTCTATGGCTCAAATCAATCGTGACTCCTGGCATCAGCTCGTTGCTGACGGCGCTCGACTCTGCAGCTTTCACTATATTTTCCTCCAAAGCCTTGTTCATAGATTCCCGTACTAAGGCGACAACTTGCCCTTGCGATGGCGGGACTTTGGAAGATAGCGAAGAGTTCGACTGAGCATGCCGAAGGGGAGGAGCACGTCGAGATGTGCTTAGATTCTGTGGTCTAGGACCCGGACCTGGACCTGGCATGCCATTTTCGAATTTAGGTCGTCCTGATGACATTATTGCTGCTCCAAGGGGAGGACCAGTGGGACCCATGATATCTTCCACTCCAACCTTTTCAACAATGTTGTCGGTGTTTTCCGTAAGATGTGGCTGAGGATGTTTCAACACTTTCTTGTTTCGCGAAAAAGGGACCAGACCCTTATCAATTCGATGGGAACTACTTAAGAATCCGTGCCTTTGTATGGGCGGTAAAGTTGAGAATTGGTCGAGAAGAAAGAACAAGCAGCATAATGAGGGGTTTATGTCCTATGTAACACCATGCATCCGTAATATTTTCAAGAAGGGGTAATATTCGAGGGTCTTTTCTCTCTTCTGTAGCAATTGAACTGCTTGTTGTCACATTGATCAGTTCTCTAGCATCATGATTTTCGGTTAAGCTTTCTCGAAATAGGTAAGCGTCGGCTTTAAATTGATGCAGGTACCGATGTGTTTAATAAAATATGCATTTCTCCCTTTGATTTTGAGTACGACGGCAGTGTAACCTCAGGATTTATATCTTCATACTTTCATGGAGGGGATACGTTAAGTCAGAAGATAATCAAGACCATAGGTTATCTTCGTCTACCTTCATCGTTGTCTGTATCGCATTCAAAGGGCTAGAGAGGTTCTTGACAACTCCTGCCTGCTAGATACATCTTGATATCGTTCTTCCTCCAGCTTAACTTGATCCTTACAAGTGGATCTTGACTGTTCAGATGATAGATAATCATTGATGGATCTCGGATCATACTAAGTCTTTAATTTCAAATCAGTTCCATAACATACTTCACTCCATTTGCTGTGTTATACAGAACCTCAGAATATCTTCTGCTGGAGGCTGAATCACCAAATAAAACGAGCAAAGACATTGTGAGAAACAAAGAGTAAGGATATTTTCTACTGACAAGAACAAGGCCTTCGATTTGTTCACACTTCAAGAGTCTAACTGACCAGCTTTCTTCTGCTACACTACAATAGCAAACGACTGAAATCACTCAACTCTCCAAGATCTCCCCTCTGAATCCTTACAAAATGCCTTTGTCAAGGACCCTTTCAAGATCCGATTCTTGCGTTGACATTGACTTCACATTGCGCCGTATATTTAAAAAGACCTCATTCAGGTAGTCCCCTTGAGCAATATTTCCCAGAATATGAGCTAAAGTTTCTCAGGCCCTTGCAGCGAGAAGTTATCGTTGCTGCACTGGATGGACACGATGTTTTCATTCAGGCTGCCACTTCATTTGGAAAAAGTTTATGCTTTCAACTGCCTGCAGTGATCGATCAAGGGAGTAAGTCACGACGTTTGTTATTCATTTCCCAACGCCAATACTTACGCCTTCAGTAACTATTGTTATCTCACCATTACTTTCATTAATGGTAAGTCATAACCGGCCATGCGTTTTTCTATACTTATATCATGCTAGACCGATCAAGTAAATGCCTTACAGTCTGCCGGAATCGTAGCGGGTACCATTAATGGAAATACAGCTTGGCCCGAACGACAACGACTCCTTGCAGACCTTGAATCTGGCCACCCCCTAACAAGACTTCTATATGTGACTCCTGAGTACTGCTCTACAGACAACTTCCGCAAACATCTTCGAACTGTGCATGAACAGCGAGAGCTTGCTAGGATTGCCGTTGATGAAGCACATTGTATTAGCGAATGGGGCCATGACTTTAGAAAGTCCTTTAAAAATCTATCCTGGTTCCGAGAGACATTTCCTGATATACCTATTATTTGTTTAACGGCAACAGCTACGGATCAAGTACGACAAGATGTTATAGGCACTATGGGTCTCTCGGAAACAAATTTGAAGGTTTTCAGAATGACAACGAACCGCGAGAACCTTCATTATGAAGTGAGATTCAAATCAGATGAATCAGACCATTTCAATGATTTCTTACATTGGCTCAAAGGAGTTCACAGAAATAGAATGGAAAACCCAGAACGTCGGGCCGAACTGGAACAGAAGCGCGAACGCGTGGATAATGTGTCAGGAATCATCTACACTCTTTTTAGACAAGATTGTGAGAATCTCGCGTCTAGGTTGAGACATAGCGGAATAGGGGCCAGAGCCTACCATGCCGGGCTCACCCACGAAGAAAAGACCGAAACATTAAATCGATGGATCAATAATGATAAGGGCTATGACGTGATAGTTGCGACAACTGCCTTTGGCATGGGCATAGACAAGGAAAACGTACGGTTTGTCATTCATTGGCAAATTCCAAAATCTTTCGAAGGCTTCTACCAAGAGGCTGGACGAGCCGGAAGGGACGGAAAGGCCAGCATACATATCATGTATTACAGCCGCGAAGATCGTGACCGAGCATACAACAGAGTCTCTCGAGATGCCAAAGAAAGAGTCAATCTAGAAGCTAGGATTAATAGCTTGAAAGCTTTGGTTTCATACTGCGAAGAAACTGATGAATGTCGACACAAGCTGATCTGCAAATACTTCGGAGAGAACGAAGTGCCCGCTTGTGATTATGCTTGTGATTGGCACAAAGACGTGAAAGCTTTGAAGAGAGCAAAGCTTAATAATTTGATGACCGAAGAATTTGTGAGCACACAAAGAGAGCAAGGCCGCTTCGACAATGGATATGATGAGTATGATTGATCATAATATCTTTATCTTGCTAGCTTATCATGGCAATCGCTAAGTACTGCTTGAATTTGGTGCACGCATGTTGGGAATGTCATTGAGTTAGTTATGCCCCAGGGAATTCACTTTGGAAGAGTGATTGCTACAAAGCCGGTTCCATGCCTATGGAAAACACAAATGAAAGAACCTCTGTTCCCCCACTACCTATCCTTTTGGGAATAATGAAAGATGATTATCGTTGTAAAAGAGAACGACCCAAACAGTATTGATGGTGGGGGGCTATATATCCTGGGCTTTCGACCACCAAAATTGCCACTCAATTCAACAAGATCACTTGCTTTTCATTTTGGCAACCCATCTTACTTACAATACATTTCAACACAGCACAAAGCTCAGCTCTCGAATTCGGACAACATTAAACGCTTTGATCATGAGTAACGATATTCTCAACGATTGGTTCCTGGTAAAGCTGACTCGATGGGAAGACGGCCATGAAACCAGTTCGGCTCTCCTCCCTGTGAACATTTCTGCCGGTGATACACCGTCTGGCCTCAGAAACGGGCTTCAGGCTGTTTATAAGCGCATTTGGGATTACTTTACTGTTATAGAGAGAGACGGCAACTCCTCCGACCGAACCAATCTTCCTTCGGGAGCCGCCATTAGAGAAGGTGATGGTATCGAAGGTTTGAGCGTTGATTGGCAAGGCCTTTCGGCTGGCGACTGGCCATCGCAGCGGACTCTTGTGACAGAATTCAACCTTCCTGGAATCGTGAGACATTGAAATTTCTCATTTTCTCCTTCTATTTTCATTCATGGGGTCGTCTTCTGCAAACACAATATAACGGCAGGGAAAGCTAACTTGATGCTCTTGACATAGCGGGGAAGATTATCAACGAGTAACAATGCAGTCATCCACTGTACTGTCAAAGACAGTAGACTCGACGGAATTTCCTGGTGCCCCCCCAAAAATTAGATCATTTTAGTCTGGGATCAGATACATGAGACGAACTTAAAGTGCTTATGAGAGTAAGCTTCAGAACGTGAACCTTATTTCTGCAGTGTACATTGGTTGCCTCGAAAGATTTATGAGAAAGGAGGATCGGAAAGTGTGGGGATTTTGGGAGTGAAGAAAATGGGCGAAAGCATTTTGAGGTTAACATCAATAATATTATGATCTCGTCTTGTCTAGTAGTTGATAAGTACCGGTATTTCTTCAGATACAGATATTGGTGTGATTATGAAAGCCTTAGCTAAAGCGCCAGCGGCAGATGCAATCCCGCCTCCATGAAACCTTCACTCTGCTCCCGCCAATTCCATTGATTTCTGCTTTCATCACTCGTATCACCTTCTTCACCTTCACCTCGTCTCTTTGGTCCACTACATTCTGATAAGAAAGAACCACCTATTTTTGCAATATCAGGTTGCACACATCTAAGCATTCAAAAATGTCCCAAATATCCAATTCTTATATTCCATTCCTTCACTGTCCCCTAGCCGATCATTGATCCGCCCACCCACTAGCCATTTCCACTATTCCCACCAAAAGGACGTTGCATCCCTGAACCCACACCAGTCTACACGGAATAAATTTAGATCCACTCTCCTTAACTTAAATCCAAACATGGAATCGACGTGCATGCGTCCCAGACTCTTCCTTGGTCCTTGACATTAACCAACAGCTCAGAAATTCGGGAGCGGAATGAAGAAGTTCAGCTGGGCGACTGATCACATCCCTCTTCTTTCTCAAGTATAATAACCTGGTGTCTAAATATCAGCAATACAATACAAATACTTCGATTGGTAACGTGTCTGTTTTCATACTAAATCTACATCAAGTACCATCGGTTCAAGTGTCAAGGGGATAGTGTATAGGACCATCCAAATTTGCTCGGATACTATCGTGTTGCTGCCGGATTTACCAGAGCAGTCAAGAGCAACTTTGTATAGACATCAATAGCGTTCACCAAAGACAGTAGAGTCTGTTAACGCACTGTATATACATTTCATACCCGCTTGTATGTATGTTATGTGGGTAGTACCAAAAGATTCCGCCACATCTGAGACGTTCCCAAACTAACCCAAAGTCATCCATTATGCCGCACTCTTATCTACTCCAATTATAGGCCATGTAAGAATGCAAGGGTGTCATAAATCATCGTCCCATATTCAAACCTAACTCCCCGAAAGAACAAAACTCCAATCCATACTCCCAATAACCCATCAACTATCCCTTGGGAGAAATTGCTTTTCCGAAGTTTTTTTTCCTGTCCCTTCCTGTCACCGGTAGAAGAACTCCTAGCTCTCCATCCCTAATCGCCAAATCGATATTGTCCCGACTATCACCATCTCCCACAAAAATCGAACCACCTTTTCTGTCCGTCTTGGGAACATATTCTTTGTTCTGATTAAGATGCCAACCTCTATCAGCTCTCTCCTTCCTCACCTGTGCCGTAAGTAATATCCCAAAATTCGCTTTCTTCCCACCCCGTGCATCAATTTCTTTACGTTTAGCCTCGTACCAACTCTCAGTTTGTTCTTTTGGCCATACGACTCTAGGATCAATATTACCCCAGATTTGCGTTTCGGTGGCGTTATCTGATTGGGGCATGATGTTCTGTTCTTTTTCAACCTCAGCCCTAGCCTGTGATTTTTTTTGTAGATCTAAATAATGATCAAGAACGCTGGGATCGTATGTTAAGCAGCGCAATTGACGTTGATACTCGATAGTGTTGGGCTTGTAATCGCCGTAAAGTGGCGCAGAATGCGTCAGCTCTTCCTGGTTTGGACTCTGTTGGTTCGATCTCTCCTGATTCGGTCCCTCCTGGTATAACTGTGAAACTGTATACTCCAACTCCCGAGAATTAACAGGGGACTGAATAGGTATAAAGTGATTCATTGCATTATTGATGATTTGCTGATGATGAAGTACTTGCTTAGACGGAGCCATTTTTCTTGCAACCATAGTTTCTGCTTTTTGTTTCTGAACTAGACATAAGACTTCGCCGTTTTCACTTTCCGGGTTAAGGAAGTGCATATTTTGAGCCGTGGTATCTAGATTGGATTTTGGTGATATAGGCTTTAGTGGCCTCCTGATCAAAGGAGTGGTTAGAAATGGGGTCGTAGTAGAAGCTGCTGAGGATTTTTCCTCGGGAACTTCTTTTTGATCGAATAGGGAAGCTTTGCCTTCAGGATTCTGATTCTCCGCAGAAGCTGATACTGTTTCAAGCGGTCGTCCACTGGACGACAGTAGGGCTGGTAAAGACGGCGATCCGTGCCCATGAACAAGTTCATCCGCAGGCACCGTTGCAGCTTTTTTTGCACTTTCTTGCATAACTCTGAGCTCGTCTTGTATTTGAGAGCCAGGGCTATCGCCCTGTTCAATATCGAGTTGCTCCACGTCGGATTGCCAAATATTGACATCACTGTCAACTTTCTCTGGCGACGGTGGTTCGTATTCTGGTGAACAGCTCAGGTTATCTTCGACTTCACCTGGCGGTGGCGGCTCGTACTCTGGCGATGATGGGAGTTCTGACATTGATTGAATTATGGTTCGACTCGGAATTTTGGGTCTGAATGGATCGTATTAGACATATTCACTCAGTGTTCAATACATTAAACTTACACTTCCCGGCTACCATTCATATTCGGTACTTTGATTGTTCTCAATTTTGGGTGGGGAGAATGAGACAAGTTTTCAGCCCGGGGAGGTCGCGGTCCTAGAGTAGACAACGGGCCCTCCGAATTCGAAGTCTCCTGAGGTCTCGTAGTTGGTTTATAATTGAATTCTGACTGAATGGGAAAACTGCTTGGAAGTATTTGCTTATTTTTCAAATCTCCAGGCTTTCTACCTCGTTTACGCTTCATTCCTTGCATGTCCTCGTCATACTTAACAGGGTAAAGTCTTGTTTTTTTGATGGGTTTCGAGACCGGTCTTGACATGGCTGATATTTGTGCTTTGCTAGCAAGCTTAGACCTCTTATTTTTCTCTGTCATCTCGTGCAGAGTACACAAGACTCTATCATCTTTGTTTTTACCCAACATGCTGTAAATCTGCTTGTTGCATCCAGGTATCTCACACACACCGCCCATCGATTGTCTCTCTGGTGAAAACTCTGTTGGTGGTAGGCCATGTTTTCTAATACAATGATTGCAATACCAATCACTGTTTAGTTTTTAGCAATTGCCGAATAGCACGAGGGGAGATATTACATACGTGACGTCAGCTCCAACCGGTGGACGTGGCTTATGACAACTAGCATGCCATCGGGCTAAGCATTTTGAACAACGATATAAAGGATCGAGTACAAGTTCCTCTCGTTTACACACCAAACATTTTATGGCTTTGCTAGTAGTTGAGAGTGAGGCAGTTGAACTCGTCTCGTCGAACTTGTCATCGGACTGAGCTTGAAACTAACAAGTTAGCAAATCTCTTCGAGTATGACAGTCAAAAATTTTCAGAGAAGAGAATTGATTTTGTCTCAGGTCTTTTCAGTCTATAAAGAGTCGTCATATGGCTTGCTTCAGCGGTTGTGCAATGAGTTATAAACCACCAATGTGCGTCTCAGCTGACTTCTACAGAAGATCGAATCCCTTTTGCAGCAATTTCAATACCGCTTTCTATCACAGCCTTTGGTCATACATCTTGGGGCAATGTGATGTCTAACTCCGTGTAGCAATAGTGTCCAAAGACATCAATTTGCCCTCATATTTTCATTGTTGAAGCTGATATCCTTTAGCTAAAACAGTCTTGCCTGAAGTGGAGGACGCCGCCAGGGTTTGATAATCGCAAAAGGTAGTATCATCGATCATGGCAAGGAGACAGTATAACCAAAGCAGAACCAGAAGAAGCATTTTTGAGCACTCAGACCTTTTACCAGATGTTCATCATTGACATACGTATGAAAGTCAAAAAATGAGAGTTCCACATACGCCTACATTTCTTTTTATGCTTGAGAATGATTGCGGTCTGAAATTATTGTCGAAATTAGTTGCTGATCTGGTTGGAGCGACCTGCTTGCTGTCAAATTCCATATTTTTTCGACAGAAGCTTGAGAATGTAGCGATAAGATTTCTAGTCCTCCATTCTCAAATCTTCTTTCTCAACCGTATAGTTGTACTCGAAGAAAGAGGCATCAGGCTGTATCGTGAATTGTGTTGAGATGTCAGGTATATCAAGCATGAATAAATAAAAGAAGACGCGACTGTGGACGAGACGTTAAGCACGGGTGCACGGGTTCTTGCGGCCGCTGGTCATTGATTTTGCCTAAATACACCGCCTCATTTTGTGCTTGACTTGGTATAGCGGGGGTCAATCATCGAATCGATAGGCAAAGCTGTCTACTTCTCTTTCACAATTATTAAATACTACTTTACTGAGTATTGTATTCTTAACATTTGTCTTGTTGCAGATTGCTTATGGATTTCTTGAAGTCTGCAGTCGCATCTGCGATATCAAAGGGACCTCCATTTCCCTACACATTTGGGGATCAGGTTGATATAGAGGAATCCATATGGAAGTTATACAATGGAACCAAAAGAGTATGCGCCAGAGATGACTTTGGTACAGAATATGGAGTTAATGGTATCGTAGGAAGACGGTTCTAATTGTAGTATATTCTCCTTCGATGTTAGCGCGAACAAGTCTCGATTACCCCTAGCCAAAAATGCAGTTAAGAAGCTTCGAACGTTGAGACATCCTGGAGTTATCAAAGTGCTGGACACAGTCGAGGTATGAATTGTCAACAATCGAATCATGTGGTATATCTGACTTGCGATATGGGAATAGACCGACACATACATTTATATCGCTACTGAGAGAGTGGTTCCCTTGAGATGGCATATCAAGAGAAAGAGCATGAGCCCGGAGACATTGAAATGGGGATTATTTAGCATAGCAGTAAGTTTATGGTTAGTACCATTTGTCATGCTTAAGTCTAATCGAACATATAGCAAACAATTAAATTTATCAATGACGATGCATCATCCATCCATGGAATGCTTCGAGTAGGATCAATTTACACAAGTGAGAGTGGGGAGTGGAGAGTTGGAGGATTCGAGGTATTAAGCAATATGAATGATACTGAAGCAATTATTTATGTGAGCAATATATGTTTCTGGCATATAGAACACCAAATGCTAAATCTCGCAGAACTATGGCAGTCTTGTACCCGATGCCAGACGATATACTCCACCAGAATTGGCGAATGCTGGCTGGGATTCTATCAAGAAACACCCGATATATGCGACTGATTCTTATAATTTTGGAGCTTTAATTTTTGAAGTCTTCAATGGGGACTTCACAGGGGATGATCAAGCCGGCCAAACGAAGAATATACCTCCCAGTATGCAGTCAAGCTATAGGCGTTTAGTTAATAGCAATCCTAAAGCTCGACTGAGCGTTGGCCATTTCCTTGAGCAAGGTCGTCGAAGTGGAGGTTTTTTCGAGACTCCCCTTATCAAGCTTACTGAAGGCGTGGATAATCTAGGTATGAAAACGGAGGCTGAACGAGAAGAGTTCTTGAGGTAAATTATCAAATCAAAAGCACACCGGATTTAAGCTGACTTGTGAAGCGACCTTGATGAGCTTTCAAATGACTTCCCGGAGGATTATTTCAAGATGAAGATCCTTCCAGAGTTACTGAAATCTGTTGAATTTGGGGGTGGTGGCCCAAAAGTATTTAGTGTTGTTATGAAGATTAGCACTAAACTTACAGATGACGATTTTGAGGCAAAAGTCACACCTGTCGTCGTTCGGTTATTTAGCAGTCCTGACAGAGCTATTCGGGTGTGTCTTTTGGACAATCTTCCACTTATGATCGATCGACTACCACAGAAAGTGGTCAATGATAAAATATTTCCCCAAATGGTAAGGGTAATTGCACTTGACTTGCAAGCACATGCTGATTGAAACAGGTCACTGGCTTTACAGATCTCGCACCGGTAGTACGAGAGCAGACAGTCAAAGCAGTATTGACAATTATTGGGAAATTATCAGACCGAACAATTAATGGAGAATTGTTGAAATATTTAGCCAAAACTTCTAACGATGAACAACCTGGCATTCGAACAAACACGACAATCTGTTTGGGCAAGATCGCCAAGAATCTGGGAGTTAGCACGAGATCAAAGGTGTTAATCGCCGCTTTCACAAGGTCCCTTCGCGATCCATTCGTTCATGCTAGAAATGCAGCCTTATTAGCATTAGCTGTTACAGCTGACTCATTCAGCGATGATGATTGCGCTAATCGCATATTACCGGCGTTATGTCCTTGTCTAATAGACAAGGAAAAACTCATTCGAGACCAAACAAACAAGACAATGGACGTTTACCTGCAGCGTATTCGCAAATCTGCTGCCACAATGCCTGATACTGCCTTACCACCACCCACCACAGGCGAAGCTGCCTCGTCATCTACACCCCGAATGAGTACGCCACAGCCTAGTGATGCAGGTACGTCATGGGCAGGCTGGGCTATTTCTTCATTCACCAATAAAGTAGCTGCTGCTACAGGTGAAATTCAACCACCAAGTGGTGCCGTGACTCCAGAAACACGTCCGGCATCAGCACGACAAGAAAATGAAGCTCGCCATTCAACCAAGTCTGCATCGGCTTTGCATCGAAAAGCTGTGACTTCACCAGCTGTTGCCTCAGCTAACACGCCTTCGGCCAGTCACTCTTATTTCGAAGATGCGAACGCAGGAGAGGACGATATAGAAGCATGGGGTGACATGGAAGAGGATTCCTTCTTTGATGCTCCTAGCGAATCGGCATCAAAAAATACTATTGCCCCATCTTCGACTACAACCCCCTTCGAAGATAATGGCGAACCGGATTTCGCGGGTTGGTTAGCAGCCCAACAAAAGAAACCAGCTCAAAAGTCATTACCAAAAGGTTTGGCCAAGCCCGCAGCGAAAACAAACGGAAGACCTTTATCATCGTCAAGAACTACCACAACCAGTTCTTCGGGGACGAAAAAAGCAACTCCTGTAGCGACTAAGCCAGTTGTGGCTAAGAAAATAGATACAGCTCCAAAAGCTACAGATGAGGATGCTGATTGGGGAGATGGTTGGTAGGTCGATCGAGAATCTAATTTTGTGGGTGGGCAATTAGGTTTATGTATGTCACTGGGCTTGCGTGAAAATTGGCATGGCGTACTGGGTGAAACTAAGAGGGGAATTGAGCATCAAAAGGCGAGAAGGCGTTTGAATTATTAATTCTTCGGCGAGTCACAAGTTTGTTCGTGATTAGGATAGATATTAGATACCTGGATCGCATACGAGTCCTTCTGCGAAAGTACTATGAATTGAGAAGTGTTTATATGCAAAGAATTCCCAATTCGGACCCCTGAGTTTGTTGTGTATATAAAACCTCATTGGTGGAAAATCCCACGGAATTTAAGACGGTATAACATAAGCTTATATAGTCCTATCCATACTATTCATAGCGCTTTATATAGCCTCTAAGCATATGATATAGCCTCATCTCGCGTTTGATCATCGAACCCTTGACATCGCTAGGGAACCATAGCTTATGACGGACATGAGATACAAGAATTGGTCGTAATCCGTCCCCGCATGGAATCTTAGCATGGATGTTCTGAGACGATATATATGTATAAAAGAACAGACGACGATCAGAAAGGGAAAGAGGAAGGTCGGGATGATGATGAGGAGGTTATGTTGCATATCTGTGTGATTAATAGTTGGAGTTTGTTAAGATGTTGAGGTATGGGATCGTGTGTTGTTGTGCATGGTGTCGTTCGTATAGGGCTGAGATGACAACGAGAGGTTGTGTTGTGCAAGGTGGGATGGGTGGATAGGTGAGCTATGTTTCATAAATTGGTGAGTTATAGGTCGTTAGTTCGTTCGGATCTCGATGGCTTGGCTTCTTGAGCTCTAATTAGGTGAGTTGGTTTGATTTTCGAGGACGAGTAAGAAATCCTTGAGGTGGGATTGGGTGGTAGATAGATATTTGGCTGGGGCATAAAAAACGGGTTATAAAAGGGAATTGTTCGATCAACCTTCAAGCAAAACCTCTACGCCCTCCTCTAATGCCCTCTTTTTGTTTTCCTGCCATTTAAGCCAGGCCATTCCTTGCAGTAGGCAATCTGCTAGGTCGTCTAGTTTACCTACCTCATCTTCTTTCTCTGTTATTATCCCATCTTCTTCTTCCTTATCCTCGTTATTTCTCGCTTTACTTTTAACCTTGAATCCCTTCGCTCTTCCAGCTTTTCTATCCCACTTTGTGGTGTATCTCTCCTTCACCTCTCTAACCTGTTGACTACCTATCTGTACCATTTCAAGATGATTCCGAGATTTTCCATTTCCCTTTTCCCCAGCTTCCAACCATCCTCTAACTAAATCAATCTTGGCACCCTTAGTCCTCGCCTTCACTTCCTTTGTGTTCCTAACCTTCTTGAACTTCTCCTCCTCTCCATCTAACAAGCCGCTCTCTTCAACCCAGAAACTTCCTACTTTCCTCGGAGCAATCTCAATTACCTCTCCGCTCCATGCTTTCTCTTCAGCTAATGTTCTGAGAGTAGCCCATAACATACTTTCTAACATATTTACTCTAATCGTCCATTCTAAAATATGTTTGGAGCCCATGGAGCGGAAGCGTTGGCGCTCTATCAAAATATGGGTAGGGGAGAGAGGAAGAAGAGTATGCCGAATTAAGGAGTAGGCTGCCGTGCTGAGAATGGAGGGAGTAAACTCGTTGCGAGTTTTTTCTTTGGATTCAAGATCGGCATTTGGAGGGGATTGCGAGAGGAGAGAAAGTTTTTGCCAGGATTGAAGGATAGGGATAGGAACTGTAGAGTTTAAGTTCTTCTTGGAAGATCGCGACTTAGAGATAGATTTCGAAGAGGAAATTTCCAGGAGACAGAATGAGAAATTACGGATTCCCATATCAATGCTTAAGATACGCAGAGGTTTGGCGTCGGCTGACGAGCCTTTCGTGTTTGTCGAAGTAATTTGTAGAAGCTCATCTTGGAGACGTTGAATGAGGAGTGGTTTGGTGCCAGAAGTCGAGATGCCGCATTTGAAGGCAATTTGTTTGAGAGCCGCAGCTTTGAGGGTGCTGGGAATGGTGATTGCCATTCATGATCATTTATGCGTGCGGGTGTTGATTGATGTGAGAGTGATTTGGATAGCAATTCCCAAACTTTTTTTTTTACAATGTATAGCCTTGCTTGAGCTTTGTTACGATAAGAAGTTACGATAAGAACTACAATGCTTGGTGTGCATGCAAAAGGTCCTCACCGAGAAGGAGCACTGGACTGGTCAACCAACTTTTAGCTCAGGTACTCGGGTCTCTCGTATATCTTCTAGATTCGGGTTAACAGGCCACTACATTGGCTATGGGAATAGCGTGGAAGAGAGCAAGAAGTCGATGATGGAATGAATTGCAGTAACGCGGGCCTTCCGCATCCAATAAGAATAACATCTACAGCCTACCTACGACTAGGTACTTGTCAATTGAATCTTTGAGAGAAGGTCCATCCATTGAACACAGTGCTTGTTGACGAAGCAGTTCAATAACATTCATCGTTGATATTTCAAATATCCTCACCATGTGTATTCATAAACATGGAGGATTTTGCTTAACAATTAGAAAATGGAAGAGCCGAGATTTTTGCTTAGAAATCAGTCAATCGTGGAAACAACTCCAACCATTCGCGACTTCGTATAATTTTTAATAAAAGTTGCTGTTTTATGGTATTCTAATGCTGCTTTAACTAATTTTACTAGATATTCAGCCATCCCCCCCCCTCCCGATTTTCGAATTTTGAAGCTTTTAAAACTTTTGAAGCTTTCAATAGGTTCTAAATAGACTTAGAATAGTATTTACCAAGGAAAAAGTAATAATTCTGATGAATTCAAGTGATTTTGCTAGGGTTAAAAGAAAGTTACGATACTTTCACCACCTGGAGTTCGCCATATAAATTTTCAATCAGCGTGATGATATGATTGGTCCAAACGATGAAAATGGAGAAAAGCTCGGTCGCTTTTTGGTGTGTTTTACAATACTTACGCCGTCAACCTCCGTCCCTCAAAGCTATTCAAGTCTAGACTTTCGTATAGTGTAACTCAATCGACACAGTTGGTAATCGACATCTAGCACCTCCCTCACACGTCACCCAATCCTACAACAACCCTTGTAAACGGGTACCCGCCAAAAGCTATAGAAATCCACCCCTCCTTCCTCTTTCCTCTTTCCTCTGCTTCGAAAATAGCTCTCATGCAAAGATTTACTTTTCTTGCCCGAGCATCTTCCCAGACGGCAAATACTAGACTTACTTCTCTTTCTCGCCAATTTTCTGCGACAACTTTCAATATGGCGCCAGTCCCTAAGGAGTGTGACTTTTTGGTCATTGGTGGTGGTAGTGGCGGTTTGGCTACAGCCAGAAAAGCAAGTGGAGTTTATGGTGTAAAGACTATCGCAGTAGAGAGCAAGAGACTTGGTGGTACTTGTGTTAATGTTGGGTGAGTGAAGGATTATTCTTCGTCTTCTTCATCTCTTTCAAGGACATCCACTAATGAATAATAGCTGTGTACCAAAGAAAGTTACATTCAATGCCGCCGCAATCGCAGAAGCCATCCACGAGTCCAAAGCTTACGGATTCTCGGTCGAGGCCACCGCACCATTCAATTGGTCATATTTCAAGAACAAGAGAGATGCATTCGTCAAGAGATTGAATGGCATTTACGAGAGAAATCTCGGTAACGATAAAGTCGAATATATTCACGGCTACGCATCTTTGACTGGAAAGAATGAAGCAGAAGTTACATTAGACGATGGCACCAAGCAAATAATCAAGGCCAAGAAGATCCTTTTGGCAGTTGGAGGTCGCCCTACTATTCCTGAGGGTATTCCTGGTGTAGAGTACGGTGTTGGCAGTGATGGATTTTTCGATATTGAGAGACAACCCAAGAAGGTCGCTTTGGTTGGCGCTGGATATATTGCAGTTGAGTTTGCAGGCATGTTCAATGCTCTTGGTACGGAAACACATTTGTTCATCCGTCATGACAAGTTTCTCCGAAACTTCGATCCTATGGTTCAAGAAGCTATCACAAATGAATATGAACGTTTGGGCGTTAAACTGCACAAGAACTCTACCCAGAGCAAGATAGAAAAAGATGAGAAGACTGGTAAACTTACCATCCACTATGAGGATTCCAACGGAAAGGGTGTTCTCAAAGACGTGGATGATTTGATCTGGGGTATTGGAAGATCTCCGGAAGTTGAGAGGCTCGGCTTGGACAAAGCAGGCGTCAAACAAAACGAGAGCGGTCAAATTATCGCCGACGAATATCAAAATACCAATGTCGAAAACATCTACTCTCTAGGTGACGTTGTCGGCAAGGTTGAATTGACCCCCGTAGCCATTGCCGCTGGTCGTAAACTCGCCGATCGTCTATTTGGAGGCCCTCAATTTAAAGACTCAAAACTCGACTACGATAACATTCCTTCTGTCGTTTTTGCCCATCCAGAAGTCGGCTCTATCGGTCTTACCGAACCCGAAGCTATTGAACGCTATGGAAAGGAGAATATTAAATGCTACAGTACTAGTTTCGCAGCAATGTACTACGCGATGATGGAACCAGAAGATAAGCCTCCAACTAAGTATAAAATAGTCTGTAAATTGCCTGAGGAGAAGGTTGTTGGTCTTCATATCTTGGGATTGGGTAGTGGTGAGATGTTGCAAGGCTTTGGAGTGGCTGTCAAGATGGGAGCTACAAAGAAGGATTTCGATAGCTGTGTGGCTATTCATCCTACTAGTGCCGAGGAGTTGGTTACAATGAAGTAGAGAGGGGTGTTACATGAGTTTTAGAAAGATAGATACATGGATAGTGCGGTAAATATTAAACGAGACATGCGAAATGGTATACCAATATAGTTTTAAAGTTCTTAGCTTCATGTTTTCTGTCTTGTTCACTTCTTGAAATCAAAAAACGTATTTTTGTGGCTGCATAGCTTCTAACATATATGATACAAGTCTAGGTGAAGGGAAATTATCCGGTAGCCAGATGAGGAATTTGAGGAAGATCGCTATGACGTACACAATTAGATG